AAAAAAAAAAAAAAAAAAAAAAGAAAAAGGAAAAAACATCCCAGTGAATAGCTTGCCATTTACTTATATTGTTCTGCCTGTGGGTCTGTTCCAAATCAGAATATTCTGTGATTCTTTGATTACAATGTTTGTCTTCCAGAGCAATACATACTGACACCCTACTTCCTGGGAAGTCACTGGCCATCACCTACTGATAGGAAGTAGAGAATAAATCTTTTATTTTTCTTTACTCCCATGCAATCACAGCCTTTGTTTTTGTTTTAGTAAACCTACTTTATTTTGATTCACAAAGGGTTTCTTTCATATTATTTTTGTCCCTGTCCCATCTTGCCGAGGAGGGCAGTGATAGAGTGGCTTGGTGAGCACATTGTATCCAGCCAGTGTCAACCGACCACAGACCTTTTCACAGCCCAGTGTGGGGATTGAGACAACATCAGTTTCATCTTAAGTGTGCTATAGCTGTGGTAGTAATTGAATGTCGAGTTCCTGTGCGGGTCATGGAGTTTGCTGGCTTCACTGCTTATCTCTTTATTTTGCTGAGTTTGGCAATATGTTAATTCAAATAATGGCTCTGTGCTTTGCCCTGGCATTGATGGCCTTGCTGTGCTGGGGGAGCTATCTTGTGGAGGGGATGAGGGAATGCAACTCTATTTTCCTACATGCAATTGACATGGATTGTCTTATTATGCAGGTTCTGGAGGTTCTTATTCACCCCTATGTGAGCTGTTTAATATTGCTAATTAACACTGTAACTTATTCTGGTGTTTGTGGAATCTCATGCTGTTCTGGTGTAAAAGGAGACAATTTTTGGGTGAGGTGATACTCAAAAAGCATCTTGAGTGTACGTAAGAATTTGGGCAAGATCCTAGTTTTGTTGCCATGTCCTGTATCCTGGGACTTTACACCTGAACAGACAAGCAACCCTGGTAATCTGACATGACGCTTCCTTCCTCAGTGAAAATCAGTAGCTTGTGTAGAAAAATGTGAGAATGTAGGGCATAGACTAAAATTTATAAAATACTGAAGTCAACAATCAATACTGAAATTAAGCATGTACCTTATTGTCTTTCCTGGATCTGCTTCAATAATCCAAGTGCAATGAAGATTGTTGTCATATGGTGCTGGGTAACCAGGGGACAAAATGCGCCCTGATGTAGCAGCATGAATTCGACCACCACACTCAGCTACAAAATAAGGATCACATTTATTTCTAACAAGACCATAGTAATTTGCACTTTCATTTTCTGTCCATTCCAGTACTCTGTGTTTTCTAAAAAGTTAACAGAATGACCTGTGTACTCTGAAGAAGTACACACAGACACAAACTAGGGCATATACAAGTTAAAAATGCACATATAATGATCTCATTCCTACCTTTTTATAAAGGAAAAAAACATACTTCTGTGTTTATCTTACTAAAATGACCAGAGTAGTTCAATAAGAATTGAGACTACAAAAGCACAATTTTAGCAACAGAAAGACAGCAAAAATGTTTCAGAAATATCTCATCTAACATGTTTGCCTTTTTAAAGTAACACTGAATGTTTGAATTCAACTTTACAGCATGGAATTTTGTAATTAAAATAGCTTTCTCTGTTGTTCTAATGTCAAAATGGTTTTAGTTTAATGTTTTTCAAGTTACTTCCATATAACTTCAAGTTTAATTACATCAAAAAGCAGTTAGGTATGGCCTAGCAATTTCCTTTAATATTTAAAGATTTAAATGCCATATGCTTGCAAAGTGAAAGATTACTAGTGAGACTGAAATGATAGGAAAGACAATGAAGAATATGTAACTGAAAAGAACAGCAAATATCAAATGCTGATCTAAAACACAAGACAAAAAGAAAAAAACCACAACTCTATAAACAGGAGGATATTAAGAAAATATGTCCAAGAAAGAAACTGATGTTTGAAGCTCATGACAGCTTCAGAAGAAAAGAAGAAAAATGAGTCATTCGAATCAGAGTAGGAAAAGATCAAACTGTGAAAACACAAGATAAAACTGATAGAAGAATAGATTTTAAAAATACTCTGAAGTGAGGGGAAGAAAGCATGAAATAATCTGCAGATGCTTAACTGAGTTTTCAGGGATCTTCGTGACAAGTTTTCCTGTGCACAGAACAATAAAAAACCCCCACAACTTAATGATGATAACAGACTCTTTGCAAATGACTGTTGAGAAAGAGTCACCCTTAGGAGATTTTGAGAGAGAATAGTGAATATATGACTTTTTTGGGAACTGAGTAATGTTTCAGAAGATTTTTAAACAGAGAAACAAGAAGAGGTAGCTTATACAAAACTGATGCAATGGCAAAATTTGATTTTAAAGAGAGGAACAAGCACAGCAATTAAAAATGTATGCAGTGAGATAAAAGTACATAGAAAGATAACTTTTGGTTGAAAATATGGAAAGTAAGAAGAAAATCTGTCTCAAGATTCTAAAAGAAATTTGACTATTCTATTGATAGTAGAACATGATAGCAGGACAATATTCTATTGATAGCAGAATCTTAAACATAAAATTCACTTAGAGATGAAATAAGATACTCATGAAATTGTGGTACAAGTGATTCTGAAAGTTTAGAAATAAAATACAGAAATCAAATCTACTCATGCCAGGTACAAAATAAACGTATAAAGGGGAACAAAAAAAGAAAGGGAAAAAGATAGAGTGGCAATCATGAGTGAAATACAAAAGCTTAAAAGTATACTGTTACCAAGAAAACTGGAAATACAGCTACAGATACCTGACAGAAAGGTGCATTAAATAGTAGGAAAACAGCACGATTTTTTTATTGTTATTATTATTATTTTAAATGTTGTATGGTTGAGATTTTAGCATCCCACATATAGATTAGAAGACAAATCATCAGACAAAGAAAAGGAAATAGGTAGATGGTTGGATTTATTTACCCAATAGACTTGAAGTATTTTAGAGTTGATTCAAATACTTGCTTGATAGTGAACATAGGCACAAGCAAATGTTGCAGAAAATGACCTTAGAGTAAAAACTTCATTTAAATTAAGTGGGGAGATAGGCAAAGGTAGGGCTAATTACTGCTCTTCTCTACAAAAGGAAAAGGAAGCTAGTAGAATAGCTAGTAGAGAAGGCTCTTCTCTACTAAAGGAAAAGGAAGCTAGCCTTTAAACTGAGGACCTTGAGGACATGAATGTCCTGGAAAAGTCTTTAAATCAAAACTGGATAGAGTTGTTTTGACCTCTCATATATATATAGGAGAATATATATAATTCTAGAATCAAGAAGGAAAAATAGCACCTCTATTAAGATTGCAGAAATGCTGTTCACTGGTTTGTTTTTTTTTTGCCACTTACCCTCTGGGTAAGTTGATTGTTTGAAAGGAAAAGAGCTTTCTCTTTTGCAGACTGCAGGTTTGTGAATGTTTTCAGCAGGAAGTAGATCCTAGAATGGAGAATGTAGCACCCAAAACGGGAGAGAAGCAACAAGCAAAGATCCTACTGGTGTAGTGAGTGCTGAAAGGAGTTGGTGACCTGCCTGCAGCAGGCAGCAGAGGCAAAAACTAAGCATCAGAAGACACATAGAAAGAAAGACTCATGGGAAAACTAAGCATGGGAAAATAATCCAGTGAAAACTAAATTTAGGAAGCCACTGGTAACTGCTGGATTGGAAAGCAAAGTTGGAGGCTGCAAACAGCCTAGTAAAGGTACAACAGGCAATAGCTATACCGGTGTTCAGTTATTTTCCGCATCTCGCCTAGTAATTGTCTATTTAACATTTATGTTGATTGTAATGAAAAAAAGTTTTAGGCACTTGAAGACGTGATATTTAAAGAAAAGGTCTACCTCAGAGCTCTGACAGATGGGGTATCCTAGAATGACAACAATGACTCATGAGCATGCAGATAAAACAGGCCACTAATGTGGGAACAAAACCAGAAATTAGCTTCATAGGAATGAGATGCTGAAATAATTTCTGATGAAAACTGGTGCGGTAAAAAACAAACAAACAAACAAAAAAACCCAAACCAATTTTAATTCCTGTATAACGGGGCTTTCTTAGTTTATGAAGTATTTAGATAATACCATTGCCTGTGATAGCGTATCAGACTCAATGACTGAGAGCATCATCAGAACCAAAGCAGTAGCATTTCATCAAAGGCTGCTCTAGAGAAAGAAGTGTTTCCCAGTAGTTTTACAACCAGCCACCTATTAATAGCCAGCCATCTATTTTGGAGAAGTTATATTTCCGTGTCCACAATAAATCTTTACTTGAAATTTAAAATGTTTGCACCATTATCACCTCATTAAGTACAGAAAGACAGAATATTTGGGGTTTTGCTTGAAACACCAGACCAGTCATTGTCACAATCCATATTACCTATGCAAGTAGGCAAAGGTTTGTCCCAAACTCTTCGATCTCCACTTAAGCAGGTCATAATGCTACTACCATGCATTGTATAGCCAGGATTGCAGCTGTATAAAATGACAGTGTCTATAAAATGTCCTTCATCTCGTATTTTGTACCCATAATTTGGTATGCCAGGATCTTCACACTTCACTAGGTCAAAACCTGCAAACAGAAATGGGAAGAGAAAAGAAGAAAAAAAGACATGGATATATAAAATATCAAACAAGGTATAATACCAATGAATCTGATCCTGATGCAAATTATATTCTTGTGATTCAATTATGTTAGATGCATCCCCAGTGATCAGAGATAAATTTTAGATAAATTCAGAAATTTGGAAACTGAAAGACCAGGAACTAATCATTAATTTGATATTTGATTAATATATTAGCTTATTGAAGAAAGCATATTATCTATACTATCCTAAAATAAGATTGGTGACAAATTTATTAATTTGTACCCCTTCTGTGCTTTCATTCTATTTTATTAAGTGGAAAGCAAGTATTGATCCTGTATTTGGAACTAAGTGTGAGCTTGACTTCCTCATCTAATCTCCATAATGAAGTCAGGACACCATAGTGGTAACTCTTGAAGAAAATGGAAAGGCTAGTTCCTCCATCCTGGCATCAAGATAGCATGGCTTCAGTTTCATCTCTGCTGAAATGAAGAACTGATTTTCCATTAGTATTCTCCTTTTTGGCCTAGCAACGTGATGAATGGGATAAACAGTTCCCTCTGTGCTCCATGGAATGAGCAGATCTACTCTGAGCAACTACAACTCTTTCCAGATTTTACCCATTCCTCTCTGCATTTTCTCCGTATAGCATTGCTAAAATGTAAAGATGCATTTTATATCTCTCCTTCTGCCTTGAGTTCCAGTTCTTGCAATAGCATAAAGACCAATTCCAAATTCATCTTTCTCAACTCCAGATTCTTCTTCATTGTGAATTCTTCTTTTTGATCGCCATGTCTTCATACTAAGGAAGTAATTCTGATTCTGCAAATATTTTCCACTTTGTTATCCTTATTTTACTGAACAGCTTCTTTAAGTGGTTCTGAATCAGGCTGTTGTTCTTCCCTTCAGTTTTCTGTTTTCAGCTCATTCTGTACCTGAGGTTGCCCAGGGAAGTCGTAGATGCCCCTTCCCTTGAGCTGCTGGCACTAGATAGCATTTAAGGTCCCTTGCAATCCAAACCATTCTATCATTCTATGGGGTCCTTCACTCAGTATTAAATAATGTAACTATAGAAAACTTTTCATTATTTTACAAATACACAAACTAGAGTCGGTATCATATTTTTCTCATTGACTTTCTCCTGGCACTGAGATCAACAACAGCTGAAAAAATGGCATGGAGTCTGAGGACCTTTTCTTCCTGTACAGATGCTGAGGCTATCCATCAACTGAGTCCTCTGAAAACACAAAATACTCTGGTTTTCTTTGTTCACTTATGGGGCACAAAGGTTGTTATTTACCTGTTATAACTCAGGATTCTGAAAATTAGAAGGATAAATTCGAACTAGTTAGCCTAGGCTACTTTCACATGCAAGAAATATGACTTTCTAGAAAATAAACTACCCCTTATTTTAACAGGTGTTCAGCTCAGTCAGTTCAATCAGCTTCTGGAGACATTTATTTTCTACCTTTACTTTAAACTGAGACTAGATTGATTCTTTGTATAGTAGGCTATACTGGCCCAGAATTTTAAGTATCTAGACTTAAGGAAAATGAATCGCACCCAAAAAAAGAATGCTATTCTATCGCATAGACACTGCATCTCTCTCTGTGATAATATCTTAAGAAATACCAAGTCCCAAGACCAGTAAGAGTATTCTGACCACAGCCATGCACTGTTAAATTCAATTATCATTCGAAAGAGCATAGCTGTTTACAAGCCACTTCCTGAGAATTCAGCTATCTGCCTACTATATTATGCCACTTTGGGAAAGTCCTAGATAGAAGAAGCCAAAATAGAAGCATGTTAGCATTAACCCTAAAATTTTGTCAGTCTAAAAAATCACATCTCCATACTCATACTCATGCCCTGATACAGTTTAGTTTACTAACAGAGATGCAGCCTTCATGTCAGGTGTATATATGATCACACACAGTACAGAAGGATTAAAGAGATTTACTATTATTTTCTTGCTAAAATATTTTTCCATGCGAAAATTTGCAAATGCCTGTAATTTCCTTTTGTTGACCAAAAAAAAAAAAAAAAATAAAAAGCAAACATTCAATTTCCAGAAAAAAGAAGTAGCAAGCATTTCAACTGACTTTAAGCATTGATTATATAAACAGTCATATCTAAACAGTTTTCTGACCTTTAGAGTTAGTAGTAACCTATGCAGTATGGTTAATCTCATCCTAAGTGTAGTGGGTTGACCTTGGCTGGGCACCAGGTGCCGACCGAGCTGCTTTATCACTCCCCTTCCCAATCAGACAGGAGAGAGAGAATAAGAAATAAAATGACTTGTGGGTTGAGATAAGGCAGTTCACTAAAGAAGAAGCAAAAATTTGTGCGGGTAAAAGCAAAGCACAAAATAACAAGATTTGTTCTGTACTTCCCATCAGCAGCAATGGCTGGCCACGTCCCAGGAAGCAGGGCTTCAGCAACATGTAATGGTTTCTTAGCAGACAGCCATTGGAAACAATGAATGCCTCCCTTCCTCCCTTTTTCCCTAGCTTTTATATCTGAGTTGACATCATATGGTATGGAATATCCCTTTGGTTAGTGCTGATGCTGTGCTCAGCAGTAGTCGAAGCGTGGCTTCTAGCTACCTTCTAGCTACCAATGCAAAGCACAGCACTGTGCGGGCTGCTATGGGGAAATGAACTCCAGCTCAGCCAGACCCAATACACTAAGGTAAAAAAAAATAGATTGGATGGTCTGTGCAATTCTAAAGAGGTCTATTTCTCTTCACACGCTACAAAGAGCCAAGATGATTAGGTCATTCAGATGAGCTGAACTTCACAAGGAATAGCTATATTTCATTATTTTAATTTCCTTATTAAACATACAGAGACATTTATGTAAAACCCTGAAAATACAAGTTTGATAGATAAAATGATATTTTAAGGCTGACTTGACAGCATGAGCCATTGTAACATTATTTCTTTGCCACCTGCTTTTACACACTTTCCCGTTCTTTGTATGTGCACCATTTTGTTACCACAGGCAGTGGCATATGATTGACAGATGAAACTTCTGAGATTAAAGAAATATTTTTGTCTCATGAAAACAATTTCCATAAATCTGATATATAGATAGAGAGATTGATTCTCCAGTACCTTCTACCACATAAAGAAGAAAAGATTGTCAGGGAGAGGTTGGTGGTCTTTTATAAGACCAACAGAGAAATTTGGATGAAATGAAATGAACTTTTAGACAAACAAGCCTTCTTAGTCTGCTATACAGGCATCTTCACTACAGAAGATGTTGACTGGGTTGAAATTATTGTTCTGACTTGCTATGATTTCATGTATTCCAGTTAACATTCCATTTTGCACAGGGTGTAAACATACATAATAGATGGGAAGAGGTGAAGAGATCATGTCACAAGCTTTAAAAGCTTGTGAGAAGCCTACCACAACGTGCCTGCACTTTCTCTATTCTTGCTTTGAAATAGGACTGAGTAGCACTAAAGTTATTTGTTTTTATTTTACCTTATTAATAGTTCACATCATTATTGTCACTTCATTATTCACATCATTATTAAGTCACTTATACCTTCAAGTATCCACTAACATAGGGGTTTTTCACTTCCTTTGCATTTTAGATTGATACATGTTCTCCAAATTATTTTTTTTTTTGGCCTGTGGAAAGACTTTTTTTACCTGTCTATCCCGAGGTGAATTGCCTACTTCTTCAAGAGCCTCACACTCTACAGATATTCACTGAGCTGTATTTCTATATCTGTAAACAACAACGTACCTCTAAATTTATAAAGAGCAAAACACAACTTCGGTAAAAACACTGTGCCTGAGCACACAGTGGTACATACAGGAATTTTTCACCCTGTGTATGTGTCAAAGGACATGAAGTCCCTTACAGAAACTTACTGGTTTTTTAAATCCTATTTTTGAGACTCTGTGGGAGCATTTATATTGTCAACCGGTCCATTTTAAACCCAAATCAAATATTTATTTGGGGTAAAGTGTTAGATGAGTGTAGAGAATATAACAAGTCACTGCGTTAGGTACCAGAATTCAATTTCCTAATTCACGCACAATAAATTTTAAAATAACAAGCAAATAAAATAACTAACTGGAAACAAACAAACAAAAGCCTAAGTTTGAATATCCTTAAGACACTTATCCTTTCAGAATTTGCTGTTTTGTTTAGATTATTGAGATATTTCTATCAAAAGACTACCTTGATTTTAATTTCTTCTAGGTATTGATAATTCAGTAAGAGTCCAGTGGTACTCTCAATTTTTAGGTTTGTTTGCACCAACCATATTATACCTAGAAAAAAAATTGTGTGCAAACATTCAGTGTGGCAAAATAAAGAGTATTATTGCTTTTTGTATCTCAAAAATAGAATATCCACTTCAAGAACATCCAACAAAGTTGTTGTTTGGTTTTTGTTTGTTTTTTTTTTTTTCCGATACTGAAAAGCAGCAGAAACAAACTTCTTAACACCAATTTGTAGATGTTAAAAAGGTCATTCTTCTTTTTTCAACATGCTGGACATTTGGAGGATAGCTCCTCTAATTGAACATGACAAATGACAGATGGACAGGGCTTTTTATTACACATACTATTTACATATTCATTACATAGTCTTGCTTACTCAATACATATTCATTAGTTTTCTTGACATACTCACGCCCCTGTGGAAGTCCTTGTTTGGTCCTTCCAGGTCTTTTTCATCATCTTGACCTCAGTTCTTGAGCAAGTACAGCATCATGATGTTTTGCCTCCAAAAACTTACATTTTTTCCTTATTTTATTTTGTTTGGGTACACAGAGCTGTACATCCGTTACCTAATCCTTGAGGACATCTCAAGATAATATTGTCCCTTATATAAGCATTCTGGGATACTGTAAGTAAAGTTTCTATTTCTCCCATCATTGCCAAATTTTAAAAATCCCACTTTGTATACTCTAGAAAAATACATAAGAGTAACAGTACATAATTCATAATCACATGTTCACTAC